CGTAAAAAGACAGTATAAGTCATTATAATCAGTAATTATGTGCCCACTGGATGCAACAAATACCTAGTTTATAATGGGTTTTAATGTTTATGTCTCATCGCTCAGGGACACGGCGTCACAATATGGTAAGGGGTGTAACATTTCCGTCACACGCTTGAGGTATTCAGCCAATCACAACGCACTGGATAGCTGGCCAATCAGAGCACACCTCGCTTTTCAGAACGATGAGCTTTGTAAAAATCGACACGTTTCAGAAAGGCGGGGCATGGAGGAGAAACAATAATGTACATTATGTGGAAAATAATGTGTTTTTTTAACCTTAAACCGCATAAACACATTGCATTACACCAAATACACAAAATAATGTTCTTTTTAGCAACATCATATGACCCCTTTAATAGTCAATGGGCTCAGGGGAGGCGAGCCTCCACTGTAACTTTAAAAGTGAAAAAAAAAGTGACGTGACCCATACTTGGAATTAGTGCTCTGCATTTTAACCCATCCAAAGTGCACACACAGCAGTGAACACACACACACCGTGAACACACACCCGGAGCAGTGGGCAGCCATTTTTGCTGCAGCGCCCAGGGAGCAGTTGGGGGTTCGGTGCCTTGCTCAAGGGCACCTCAGTCGTGGTATTGAAGGTGGGAGAGAGCGCTGTACATTCACTCCCCCCACCTACAATCCCTGCCGGTACGAGACTCGAACCTGCAACCTTTGGGTTACGAGTCCGACTCTCTAACCATTAGGCCACGACTTCCCCTTTACCTGTGGGTGTCAGAAAAACTAGTGATTTATACACTTTTTAATGTTATACTTTGTAATATGGGCATTGTTTAATTTTTGTTCTACAAATTTTTTTTTCTCATCCAATATTTTGAGGAGACACTGCCGCCCTTGCCTCCTCGGAGGAAACGCCCCTGATTTTTACATATATTCATATTAGGAAACAGTTTCTTTAAATTGTAAAAATATTTCACAATATTACTGTTTTTACTGTATTTTTAATTGAAGTCTTAGTGAGCATAAGAGAAAAACAACAAATAAAAAAATCTTACTGACCCCAAACCTTTGAACAACAGAGTGTTCAAACCTAAATGTTAATTAATATGAATGTTTTTTTCCCCAGTAGTTTTAAACTGAAAATGCACTGTAAAGTGCAAAATTAACTAGTAATTTTAACAAATTTGATGTAAAAGGATGTAAAATATCTGGCTATGTGTGTTCAGACATCTCCCTTTTCAGCCTCGCTTCAGAGCCATTAAATTATTGGCAAATTTTAGCCATCCAATCAGCATCCTCTGGGGGCGGTTAAGCTAATTAGACGACAATAGTATCCTCAACCACAACGGAGAGCAACATGCTTACCAGCAGAGAATTAAGCATCAGTTTCAAGATATCTGAAAACCATTCAAATGGCAGTAATTGAAGACCTTGTTAAACTCAAAAGCTCTCATTGGTGGGGAATGATGTTGTACAGTAGCTGCAAAATATGACTTTAGTGAACTCAAGGTCATTATGAGCACAGAGACCTGCAATTTATGCCTTTAAATACATTTAAATGCATAAAATATTTAGTTTTAAATGTGTGTTTGTGCTATTTTTCTTAAAAGTAAATGCTGCTTGGTTCGATATTTTGCGCATGTAATGCATTGACTGTTTTGCGTGTGACTTTAGTGTCCGAATGCTCTGTGTTTTTGAACTGGGAGTATTTTGGAGGAATTTAGACTGTTTACATCTGCTTCATTGATCCTCGTCCTCTCGTGTTCCTTAAAGCACAGCAGGCTCATCGCTGCGCAGACAGAAAATCATTCAGCCGGAAATAAAACAGCCACGTTTGCAAGAAGGGGGAGAAAATGAGATTGACAGATGCAGACAGAAAAAGCAAGTGTGTGTGAGAGAGAGAAATTGAGACAAAAGAGAAAGTGAGCGAGAGTGATAGTGTCATTTAGAACATGAGCGTTATGACACAGAATAATTGTAACTGTAATAACAACTGTAATTTTTATGATATTCATCTTGATTCATTTTTGATTGGACTGCCAAACGGTCAGACATTTTACACAAAATTGGGTTAAAAATGTCAAATAACTGTTGTTTTTTTTTCAAATGCTGATAATATCTTATTTCAAAAGGAATAGCTGGATGCCACTTGTTGAATTAACAAGCAACATAATGTGACTATTATTTCTATACTTTTATGTTATAATACTTCTAATATTTATTATATACTTTTATAGTTATAATATAATAAAACTTTAACATCACAGGAATAAATTACATTTTTAAATATACTGTATTAAAATAGAAAACCATTTAAAAATTTTAATATTTCATAATACTATTTTATAACTATTTTTGATCAAATAAATGCAGCATTGGAGCTTAACAGACTTTCAAAAAAAATTATATATTATATTATTTATATATATTATATTATATTAATTATATATATATATATATATATATATATATATATATATGAAAC